AATAATTCATACACTAATCGTCATTTCAATAACAACTTTGGGGGACCTGGGAAGTGCACTGTGTGCTGTCACAAATCATAATTCATCCTATTCCAGTCCAAGCGCCTGCACTAACTAGCACCTTGAGATCTCAGCAGATGTTCTGAATCTCAAAAGGATTTGCTCCCAATCAGTGGCTCCTCTCAGCTTAAAGACCAGACAGATGATCTACATCATTGCATACAAAAACACACAAGGAAATTTCTCCAGGGATTGGTTACAGACCAAAATTAACTGAATCTCAGTCAAACCAGAAAACATCATTTATAGATACCTAATGGTTCCAATATTCATAGATTCATAGATTCATAGATTCTAGGACTGGAAGGGACCTCGAGAGGTCATCGAGTCCAGTCCCCTGCCCGCATGGCAGGACCAAATACTGTCTAGACCATCCCTGATAGACATTTATCTAACCTACTCTTAAATATCTCCAGAGATGGAGATTCCACAACCTCCCTAGGCAATTTATTCCAGTGTTTAACCACCCTGACAGTTAGGAACTTTTTCCTAATGTCCAACCTAGACCTCCCTTGCTGCAGTCTAAGCCCATTGCTTCTTGTATTGATGCAATGTATGAGGAATTCTAAGCCTCCAACATTATTATTGCTTCTGTTTCTGAAATCAATCTAAAGGAGAAACAGGAAAAACCAACTATACTTTCCAGTTCTTTTTTGGTGCAGAGGAATTGTGCACATTTCTCTTCCATCTGAGCAGAGAACATACAGCAAAACAGTCCAGGATCACACTTCGCACACCCGAAGTGCCATTTGCATAATTTTGCCCTTCCTCCCTTCTCAACCTTTCTTAGCATGTTCTGTATTGCTTCTTTGGACTTGGGTATAGAGAAGCTCTACTCTCCCTTCCCTGTGGGTGAAATCCACTCATGTTTAGAAGGCCAGGACAAGGTCAATGAGCCATTTAGTAGGGCTCAAATGGGACTTTAGTGCTGACCTTCTGCATATGGATGAATTTTGCCCAAAGTGCATTTTTGGGGAGCTTTTAAAAATCGCATCATAGGGTCCCATCATAGGGTCCAGATCAAATCAGCTTTATTTGCATGTAAAAATAAATATTTTCTAACTGCCAATCCTGCAAGCTCAAACTGCAATCTGAAAGTACAGGATTCTTTCTGGATCTTGTATCACTATTAATAAAAATTCTGCAACTGGAACTTGGTTAATAATCCTGTTGATGACATAATAGCAGGGACAGAATCCAGCTTCTATTTCAGCAGTTGACTCTTTGATGCTAACTGAAGAAACAATAGTAAAAAAATGTATTCAGTAAAGAAAGAAGATATGACCTGACACATATTGGAAGCAGATCTTTTCAGCAAAAGGTGAACATTTTATATAGTCCTAAAAAAATAAAGAATATATGGAGATATACCTATCTCATAGAACTGGAAGGTCATGGAGTCCAGCCCCCTGCCTTCACTAGCAGGACTAAGTACTGATTTTGCCCTAGATGGCCCCCTCAAGGATTAAACTCATAACTCTGGGCTTAGCAGGCCAATGCTCAAATCACTGAGCTATCCCTCCTCTCACATGCTGCAAGGGAGAGCCAAACTTTAAATATAAATTTGCTACAATCTCTTCTGTTTGCGTATCTAGCGTATTAAATGTCAATAATTACCACATTGAGTTTTTAACGTCACTGTCTGTCTCTATTCTCTTCTGCCTCATCTTGTTATTCATGCCAGACAAAGGCCTTTCAAGAGGGAAAAAACCCCTTTGTTCCTTTTTAGTTTTCCTTTATTATAACATTTCAGAGACTATATTATGAATTTTAAAAGCTCAATGAATATTCTCTTCCTTTATATCCATTCATTCATTTTCACAGACATATTCCCCTTACTCCAGCCCATACAAACTCCTGTGGTCTTCTCCACAAAGATCGGGAGCTGTTTTTGGTGCCAACTTCTACAGTACATTAGACATTTGGGGCTAGATTCACAAAAGGACTTAGGCACTTAACTGCCATTTTAGGTGCCTAAGTCCCAGAATCAGGACACACTGGGCTTCACAGAACCTCTGCTCAGCTGCTGCTGAACTCTGTAGGCATCTAATCTCACTTGGCATCTAAATTTTTGCAGTCAAAGTTCCCTAGAGACCTTTGTTTCTGCTTCTGTGCATGCGCAATGCAGCCCCTGACCAGGCTTTTCTCCACCTACCTTGCTTGGGGGCTCAATCTGGTAAGCATGCTCAGAGCTTGCTTATTGGATCAGGTCCTGTGATGGGGCATCCACCTCACACTGGCCGGTAAAGGATTAATGGAGCCCTGGGGAGGCTGCACAGAAAGCAGCCAATAGGAGAGGGGTTGTGAGGAGCAGCTAATCAGGTTGAGTAGGCCCATATAAGAAGAGCTGCAGGGCAGAGCAGAGGCAGTAGTTTCCTAGAGCTGGAGGAGGGAGGATGGGCTGCCTTACAGAAGGAAGAAAGCTAGCACCCTGGACATAGCAATGCTGGGCAGGATCAGGGGAGTGAGAGCCAGCTCCTGGATGACTGCTAAGACTGGCATGTTTAGGCCCTGAGATAAGATGGAGAAGATGCCGGGGCTGTGGGGAAGCTACAGGGGAAGTAGACTGAGAGGTTAGAGGGGACGCAGTGCATGGCTGCCATCTACAAGGTCCCTGGGCCAGGACCTGGAGTAGTGGGTGGGCTTGGGTCCCCCTCTCACCACCACTCACCACTGAGGAAGTGGCTGGACCATCAGACTGCAGGACATTCCCGAGCACAGAGTGCGGCACATCTGCAATGCTGTGTCCTGAAGAAGACATCATGGTCCTGGGAGTGATGTGGGTCCTGGAGCAGAAGTGACGGCAGCAAGACATCAGCAGATGAGGGTGCACTGGTGGGTAGAGCTAGTCTCCAGAACAACCAGCAGGAGGCGCTGCAGTGGTGAGTGCACCTTGTCACAGGCCACTATAGGTGAACTTACACAAAACAGTGGTGGGAGGAGGGCCTCCCTCATAACTTTTAGCCCAATGATAAGGTACTCACCTGGGCCATGGGAGACCCCTGGTTCAAATCCTCCCTCTGCCTGAGGGGGGAGGAGGAATTTGAACTAGGCACTGCTATTTCTCAGAAGAGTGCTCCAACCCCTGAGCTATGGGACATTCTGTTGTGGGCATCCCTCAATCTCTCCTGCTGAAGTTCTTCCACTGTAACTACATAATTTAAAGTCATTGGAGCAAGGGGACTGGCTCTCCCATATCCTGTATGTGTGTGTTAATCACCAGGCTACAGAGTCACCTCTCTCTTTGGCCTAATGAGCCTTTCATTAGTTATTCATAGTAGAACAGCTTTGACAGGAGAGACTGAGCAAGTCCCACATCAGAATATCCCATCACCCAGTGACTAGGATACTCCCCTGAGGGGTGGTAGAGAGGACTTAGGACACACCCTTCACATTGGCATCTCCCATTGGCTAGTTTAGGTGTCTCCCTACCTAGTGTGTTGGCTTTTGTGAATCTCATTCTGACGTACCTATCTCTCCCCATTCATTGTATAGGGAGTCCAGGTGCCAAACTCAGGGTTTGTAAATCCCAGTGATTTTCTAGGTGCCTAAAATGCAGTCACCACACCTAAGCTCCTTTGTGAATATAGACTTGTAGTCTTAGTGCATTAGAGGGAGATTTTCAAAGGCAGAACAGGCTATTAGGTGCCTAATTCCTTTTTGTGTCATTGGAAATGAATCATAGAATATCAGGGTTGGAAGGGACCTCAGGAGGTCATCTAGTCAACCCCCTGCTCAGAGCAGGACCAATCCCCAGACAGATTTTTGCCCCAGATCCCTAAATGGCCCTCTCTCCCCCCTTAAAGTTCACTCTGTATGGACAGAGTTCATTTATTAAATCTTGCTGATGCTGACATGTATTAGCCTTAGTCTATCACGTTTATGATAATTTGCATTACGGGTGCTTAGATCAAATCAGCTTCTGATGAAACCTCTTTCAATTCTGTGGTGAAATCATGCAGTTGAGAGTCTCACTATAAAACAATTGATAGAATCAGGAGATTAAAGATATTGTTGCACAAAACTATAATTGATAATTGGGCCAGATCCTGAGGTCCAAGAAGTCTGCTTGACATTGCTAGATCATAACAAAGCAAACTTAAAAATGCAGGGGAATCCTCAACTAGCACAAAAGTTCTTGTTACTGGGAGCCAACATCCCAGGAAAGTGATGAACTCCTGGGAGGCCATTACTAACCAGGAGAGTGTAGATAGCAGTCTGATCTAAAAAATACACTGTTTTCAAGACAGAAAATGGAGAATGTTTCATTTGTTTTTGTTTTTATAGAATTACTTTTAAAATATTACTTAAAGTCTCAAAATAGGTCACTTGGCTTCCAATACCGATGTCTGAGCAAGAAAACATAATAGGTATGCAAGGGTCAGATGTTTGCATTTATATTTTTTTGTCTGAATGTCACAGAGTAGCAAATCTCTTGCACAGATTATCCCTCTTAATCATTCTGAGTCAGGAGAGAAAATGCTAACTGGATCAAACTGCATCGTTAGCAGAGAGGGAAGGTGATGAAATTTTTTTGATAAAGCTTAAGGCTCTACGCTATCCAAGTCAATGGGAATTTTGCCACTGAATTCAGTGGGAGCTTAATCAGTTTCTAAACTCTCAATTCAAAAAAGCATCCCTATTGAGGAAGGAAGCTTACATGTGTGCTTTTAAGTCCCACTGAACTCAGTAAACGTGTTTGAAGCGAAGCATGTGTTTAAATGCTTCCCTGTGAAGGGAGGGACCTAATTGTATGTTTAAGTGCTTTCTTAAATCATGGTCCAAATTTGGTTAGACAGAACTGTGTATCAAAATGGCTACATAGAGCATGAATTATTGATTGTACTAGTCTTTGCTGGACAATTCCATTCCTCAATGTATTCAAATGATTTGTTTACAGCAGTAAATCTCTGTTGCAGCACATGTGCTAAACTCCATACCTTACTATGGTGAACACAATGACGATATTGCCAACTAATCCCATTGAGCAGATAATCCCAATTAGAGAGGGAAGGATGATTGTTTCTGCTGCACTGATCACTTGGTAGTAATGCCCTCCACTCCAAGATTTGTTGAACAAGACAGGTGTGCTATTCCAACAGGAAGGCTGGATTTCATTCATTCTTCAGAGATGATAGATCCTTAAATCTGTAACAGTAACAGAAAATAAATTATTCATAGACTTACAATTTGAATGTTTCATTAGTCAAGCACAGTAGCTTGGGATACATGATTTTTAATTACAGTTTGAATTTCATGAATAAAATCTTCCAAGTGGTTGTTTAAGTTCATGAATGAACTCAACAGACTTAGATAGTATTGCTTAAAAAAAATCTGGGACATGTTTTGTACCTATATTAAAATATACAGAACTTTTTAAATGGGTCATTTTAGGTCACAGCATTCATTCCGACCATGGAAATCCCATGGGCATCTATTTCTTGATCTTCCACAGATTTATGAAATGTTGAATAAGTCACTTAGGCCCAAATTTTCAAAAGGGAGCTCTAATTTTGAGTGTCCCAATTGAGTTAATCAGGGCCTGATTTTCAGAGGTCTCAGCCTCTCAGTTGGAGTTCATTTGGTGTTGAGGGTGATTAGTGCTTCCAAGAATCAATCCCCAGATATTATCTCACCTTGTGTACCCAAAAATTGAGACTCCCAAAATTAGAAGACATATGGTAAGTTGGTCCAATGGTTAATTGCTTTCACTGTTAAAAGTGTATACTTTATTTCCAGTGAGAATTTGTCTAGCCAGATTCTCCATAGATTGTGATTTCTTTTTTTTTTCCTGGTGCTTGGAATGTAAATTCTGGGATATTTTCCATTTCACTGAGACAAGGAAAGTGATTTCAGAAGTGAAGTGGATTGCTGCCTGTGGCCTGGGCTAAGAGACGATGCAATTTGGCTGTTTTTGCTGCTGAAAAGGGACATTTAATTTGTAAGGATGCCTTCTAGCTTAAGGGAGCAGGTTGTCAAAATGATATGAAAACAATGCAAAGAGGGTTATAAAGAAAATGTATGTGTTCTGTCTGATGTGGTTCAAAGGAGAATAGTGGCTTTGAGGTACTTGGGGAGTTTGGCAGGATTTGTGCAGAGGGAAAGGAGGATTCATGAATTCTGCAGAGTTTGGTGTAGCGGGTTTGCCTCAGGGTGTTTTAGAGATTGAAACAGGAATAAACCTTTCAGCCTGAAGAGATCTATATTCTGTCCTCACAAAGCTGTCAGCCGGACACCCTGAGGGAGTGCAGGGGATGAACCTTGGAAAGTTATAGCCTAAAGGAGACATTTTGCAGAACAATTCCATTTAAAAAAAAAATCCCAGCAGTGAGAACTGCTGGAGACAAGGTATTATTAACTATTAATTATTATTGGAAATGTTAACAATAAACCACATTGAATTCATTCACAATCCATAGTCTCTCACATTTAACACAAACACAATTGCAAGTAAAAATAATGAGTGGGTCTGAGTTCTGTGGGGTAAAACTTCTGATTCTGTAGAGTAACAAGGAGAGGTTTTTCACTAGGAGTAGTTGTTTTGAAACTAGACTGCAGGAGTCCCCTTCTGAAAACTGTCCAATCTGTACCAACAGACTGTAAGCCGGGATCAGGGCATACCCCTTTATGGAGGATAAACAGCAGTACCTGGTCACTCAGAGCAAGTGGCTGGGGAGCAGCTACAAAAGATCTAGCCCTGTGATGTCCCGGTCACAGTAAGGGGACAAAAGCGATCTCTTTGTCTCTAAGGGTGCATCAGAGGAGTGAAGGGTAAGAGAGTCAGCGAAATAACTTTAAAGAAATACCACTGTCAAATAGAAGCCATTGTGTGGTGTCATAAATATTTCTGAGCTCAATTCTGCCTCTGAGACCTTTGCCTGACAGCTCTGTGTGGAAGGAATATAGATGTCCCTGAGTTGGAAAACCATCCCGATCTAATCCCGACTTTTGGGGAGGCCTAGGTGTGAAATGCAGAAGTTCATCAGAGGGTCAGATTTCGAGACTATGAAGATTTGTCCCATTGCTCAGTAGGTGTATGACAGTGTAATCCACTGTGCGCAAGGTTCTAGAAACAATTCTGGTTTGTATGAAATTATAAATCACATTATTTAACAAACGCCTTAGAATGCTACAAACAACCTTATTTGAAAGGCAGAAGAACAAGGGGGATACAGTTAATGTTGAACTTTGAGTCTTAATTCTGAATTCCTAGTTTATGATTGTTTTTTTTTTCTCCAACTTTCTGTTTTCATTCATTCTAGTTTTGTGTCTCTACTATAAAATGCTTTTTATGTAGTACTACCAACTTCAATCATTTAAAAACCATGAATAAGCCCACTCCTAACCATGTGGTAATAATTTGGACTACAAATTTACCCTAATTGTGAACTCAACTGTAAAAAGTATGTGAAAGTTCATAAGATGTCCACAATAAGCTATAATAATAAATATAGATCAGAAAAGGTGCAAAAATGAGATGGACTAAATTAATTCATACAAAAAGATCTACTGATATAATTCAAGGACTGTATTAAGATCATTGTTGGTAAATGAGAGAAATGTGGAACCAGAAACCAATGACTCCAAATTGGTGTGTTGGAAACTAGACCTAATCGGTGGACAAAATAATGAGGGGATGGACTGTTCCACTCACCGCTCCCTTTTGGGGTCCTTAAAGAGACTTTGGGGAGAAAAAACAGCTACTGGAGTGAGTTTTACCATCATTGCTGCTACCCCCATCATCTTCTGGGATCCCAGGCCTTCTTCGATACTAATCCTGAAAGTTGTGCTGACCACACCGAGCCAGAGAGAGGGAGACAGATGACATCACCATCTCTGCCAGTCTCAGCTAAATCTTGAACACCAGCTGGGATGTGAGGCTATGTCTTTCCCACTGGTGTCCTTTTCCTTCCCTACCTTATTTCTTCTCTTTCCTATCTTTCTCCCCTTTTCCCTCCTGTTTAAAATGAGTCTGGCTTATTTTGCAACTTTGCTGTGAGTCTGTGACCAGGAAGAGGCAGCTAACAGCAGTGCCCTAAATAGCTCAATGCTGGTACAAGTTTGCCAGGTCTTGGAGTGAGGTTGCTAGTAAAAGTCAACCACCAGGCATGGAAGCTGCATTTTCTATCATTGCAGTTCTTTCCTCTCCCAGCTTGTGTTTGTGTCTTGTTTCGTCTTATTAGGAAATGGGATCAAATTTTAACAACTGCAGCACCAATGACCTCTCCAGCCAATCTCAACTCTTCTCTTTCCCCCCATAAAGAACAGTTATTGCCATATTTGATACCATCTAAATGACTGTCAAACAAGGGTCTTTTTCGTTTGAAAAACTCTCTCCAGCTAAAGAGAAAGGGAACAAGAGATGTTAAAATAAAAGCCCTGTTTAATATTTTAGTTTTTCCTTCTTTTTTATATATTTTTAATAAAAGGTTAAGAGGATTTTTAATGGTGTGTGTGCCGTGGGACTAAGCAGGCTGAGGTTTCTGAATACCAAATCCCAAACCTTGTTTAATATTGGACAGTCATGGTCATGTTAACACATTTAGCTCATATATTCCATTTAAATTAATACAACACATGATTGGCTTAATCATGAGATTTTTAAAAATAATAAATCATATTGCTTTTCATCTACCTTCTGTTTGTTGAATGTTTAGGGGGAAGCCACACACCCACAATTCATGTGGGATCATTACAGGTTGAAATCTGTAGATGCTGACAGAACTCCCACTTAAAATAAAAGTTCAGACCAATATTTAGATGCATAAAATCTAAGTTTAACAGCCTAAGTTTAGGTTCCCAGTTTGAAAATTGTGGCCATGGGGCAGTCACCAAGCAAATGACCCAGCTATATTTGATTTCTCTCTCTGTCTCCCTGTTCTGTAAGTTACCAGTTATCCATCTTGTTCTCTCTTTCAGTGTCATGTGTTCAGTTCTCTTAAATGTAACAGTAGAAAGCATACAAGGAAAATTGGATGCTTTGGTGCTTGGCAGATGAATGTCAACTTTAGTCATTGATCTTAGTGGCCATGTTGAGATGGAAAAACAGTATTAATTTATCTGGCATTTAGAAAAGCTGTTCCCAGTAGTACAGTTATAGACACATCTGTTTCACGCAGTGTGAAAAGAGTGATAGAATCTGGTCCCTAGATGATTAATTACATCAACAGATTTGGGATTTTCTGTTGTCTTAAAGCATTTCATGCATTAAGATTCTTGTAGTTTATGACAACAGGTTGGTAAAACCTTACCCAAGACCTAGAAATTTGATTTTTAAGTAGCACAAATAGATGGAGACTCATACCAAAATATAACTAAATCACTCAAAGCACAATAAGAAGAGACGGTATTGTTATGATTTCTGAGTATCCCGTATCTTTATTTCCAAGCTGATGCTTTTGTATAAGATGCTAATTACCCCCCTTGTCTTCTAGAAATATATGGATATTTGTTTTAAGATGTCAGGTAGCTATTCAAGAGCTGTTGATGTGTACTATTTTAGTCATAATTCCTAGTGTACTGGCAGGGGTATATCACTACAGAGACAAGTATAGAATTAACTCCATAAGGAACGGCCATTTTATTGTAATATGACAGACAAGATTAAGTCTAATGATTATTTGAGTATTATGGGCAAGGTGTGTCTAATTGCTTGTGATTAATAGGATAGACTTTGGTATATATTTTTCTGTAGCTTACAAAGAGAGTTGGTTCCAGAGGTATTGCCAGAATTCACCTTAGTGAAGTACCATTCTCGTGCCTTTTCTGCCCCTCGCCTCTTTGTTTACAAAGCTTAATTGATTTCTCCTGTGTTACCTCATAGGTCTTTCTAGGATGGAACAATTATTTCTCCTTCATGCTGTGCCCACCTTCCATCTCTAAATATAATAGCTTATTGGCAAGGCAGCAGAGGCGATCCAGCATTTTTGCCGCCCAAGCAGTGAAAAAAAGAAGAAGCTGCGATCGGCATCATTCTTCAGCGGCAATTCGGTGGCAGGTCCTTCCCTCCGAGAAGGAGAGAGGGACCCACCGCCGAAGAGCCATACGTGCCGCCTCTCTCAGTTGGCCGCCCCAAGCACCTGCTTGCTGCGCTGGTGCCTGGAGCCGGCCCTGCAAGGCAGA